CTAAAAAATTCGATTTTGGCGAAAATCCACTTGCCCCGGAAAACCCGAAAATCTGACCCTTTCGCTGGGGCCAAAAAAACCGGTTTCTCAGTTTTCACTTTTTCCACATAGTTTTGATAGTTCTGACTAGCCCGTGGCTTAAATAGTTGGAATCAACGTTCACCCGTCCAAAAAATTCGATTTTGGCGAAAATCCACTTGCCCCGGAAAACCCGAAAATCTGACCCTTTCGCTGGGGCCAAAAAAAACTGTTTCTCAGTTTTCACTTTTTCCACATACTTTTAACAGTTCTGACTAGCCCGTCACTTAAATAGTTAGAATCAACGTTCACTCGGCTAAAAAATTCAATTTTGGCAAAAATCGACTTTCACCCTTGACCTACGTGAAAATGAAAAAATTTTTTTCCCCTTTTCTGTCACCTCCGAGGGTTTCATTGGCATCAGGAGGTCAATAAATACAGAATCAACGTTCACTATTTTTTATTTAAACACCGCCTGCAAACGGGGAGTCGAGGGGGGCTAAAATATATTCTGCAACCCTGTCTCCTCGTTGCCTACAAATTTCAACCCTCCGCATACATGCCTTCCCCTCCACCCCCTAGTAAAATCCCGCCGTCTCGGTAGCATAGAGGACTTCTCAGGACCGAAAAGAACTGAGGATTCGAAAGGTCTCCGGAAAAGTACGTCGCAGAACTGATTAGGACTTACCAGGTCCATCTAGGTCTGGACAGATCTTGAAAAACCTGTGTACGTCCAGTCAGAACCAAATCCTCGACTCGGGGCAATATTTATTCATTCTCAATAGGCTCTGTTGCTTCGGAGGACCGAGGAAGAAGAAGATGAAGAAAAAACCAACTAAAAAATAAGAGGAATAAGAGGAATTTTGGCGATGAACGTCCTAGGGCAACTCTTTGACAACGTTTACAGACTGAAATTCAATAATTATAATAAATTGTTTAGTTAATGGTTTGGTACATTTGTTCGATTATTACCACACTTGAGTATTAAAAAAATTGGATACACTCATGCGACTTTTGTAATTTTTTGAATTTTTGTAATTTTTTGAATTTCTCAACTTTTGTTTTCATTAAATTTGACTATTAGCTACAATCCGAGGTGGTCGGGTAATTTTTTTTTTCGTGAAATTCACATTTTCTTACACAAAAAAATATTAGTTTTAATTTTTACCCCCGATCAAGTTGACGCATATACAATAAGGACAGGCGAGATTGTTATTGTTCCACTGGAGATTCCCAGAACCTCAACGCCACCAACCTCCACCACCTGATGGCAGTCGCTGCACGCATTTCCTCCATTTGAATTCGCTAAAGGACTATTTTTCTGTAATTCAAAATGAATAAATATTAATTGCATAATAATAATCCGACAAAACTATGAGTTTCCATTTCTCAATTTCTGTCATTTATTCTATTCATTCTATCAAAAGACAAGGATAGAAATCAAATTTCTGGGTATTTTTCCATTATTCGAAAAAATCGATAGATTTTAAAACTTTAGGGACACATTGAAAAATTGATTTTTTTATTTCTTCCCGCCTACGTTTTTTTGCATTTTACTTTTTAAATTGAATAAAGGCCTGTTGAACGGCAATCATGTTCGCTCAATTTTATTTTATAAATTTTATTCTATAGGTGAAGTTTTCACCACAAGAGAATGGTCTTCGTGTTTACCCCCGTGGGAAGACTTCCGGCGAAAACCGAAGACCGGGGGTGCGTTTCGGAATCAACTACCGTAGCTGCGGTAAAGCAAAATTAGATAGGGTTACAGTACTGCTACTGCTACTACGTCGATTGCGAAACGCGCCCCCATTCTCTTGTGGCGAGTACTTTGTACTGGAACGGCCTCCCGCCATTTACACGCATCTGGGGGAGAAACCGTGCCGAGCGAGAAGTCTCAAGCAGTAGACGTGTCTTTTTCTCACGTGCACAGGGCTGTATTTGTTCTTTGTTTCGAGGGATGTGGCTTAATTTGAATAAACCAATGAGTTACCAACACACACCAATCACATTGTGAAAATGGAGGATAGAGCGACCACTTGGGACTTGTCTCTCTCGGCACGGTTCTGATCTCCAGCGGCCGTTCCAGTATACCTATATATACCAGTACCGGTGGTTCATGACATTCGCGACGTTTCAGCGTCCGCACAAGTTTTGTGATGTGTCGCCATCTAGCGGCGGAACTAGTCATCAGGCGAGAAAAGCCGAGGCAAAACACCCATAAGCCCAGTTGTGTATAGACCCGGACGAGAGGCCGTAGGGCTCTACTCGCTTGTGCTGTGTGTGGACGTGTGGTAGATAAAACTGTAGGCAGTAGTAGTGAAAGAAAACAGGAGATAAAAACTGACAGGATGATGGTGGCGAGTGCCTCCGGATGTAGATTCTTCCTGAGATGTGTCGCATAATTACACGATACATATTGTTACATCGAGGAGAGGCGGTCAGCTGTGACGTGAAGGAGCAAGTGAGTGAAGTCAAAAAACAGTGGTGATTTTTTATTTCATGATTTTCGGCTAATCCTTTCGGAGCACTGGGATACACTCCACGATGGCGTGAATCTGTGTTTTTCTTTCAATTCATAATAAATAAATATTATTTCCCCGCTGCATTCAACTCTCATTTCAGAGCAGTGTAGTCATCGTAAACTATAATAGTTGTTGGTTGTGGAGCAATACAGTGGTGCTTGTGAAACGTAAAGTGATACTACTCTTAAAATCATATCTCGGATTTTTTTTTCTTAATTGGAGTACAAATATATTGGAGTGAAAAGTGAGTGAGTGCTCCGTTTGTCAATCGTGGTTGAATTTTAATTCTGTTACGGTTTTTGTTTTTTGTGCCAGTTGTATACTATTTTTATTGTCATTTCGGATGCAAGAATAGGATCCACACAGAGTGTCGGGGAATATGGTTACGATGCCAAGTGATACGTGCGGATACGTCCTTTTCCTCCTGCTTCTCGTCCCGTACATCGAGAGTGGTAAGTGGTTTATCATCATTATCTCTGAATATCTCTTGCATCCGCGTCCCATCTCCTCTGGTCTCATTGTCCTCCTTTGCTAAATTTCTTCGCCTGCAGCTCTTACTCTTCTCGTGGTGGTGAACAAATAATTCATTGTTCTCTACGTTAAAATGTTGAGTTGAGAACTAAAGTGTCGCACGTGAGAAACATATGACGCGTTCAAGCACGTTCGTGAGTTGTGGTGAATCATCGGAGAGGCCAGAAGAGGCTATGTAGTAACCGACAGATGTTTTTTTTTCTGCGTTACAGGTCATAGGATGGGTAATAGAACGTTTGGAAAATATTGAGCATAGAAGGAACGCATAATTAAATTTTTTTCATGCTTCAATAGAAACAAATAAAATTGCGTTTGTTTGAAGTTTAAGCTGGTGATGGGATAAAATGAAAATTCTCTCCGGTACGTCAATATTTTTTTTAGCCAGGTACTGTGCAAAGGCCAATACTTCCAGCGGATATTGAATTCAGTTGATAGCAATTTCATCAATTTATTTGAAAAATATTTCAAATTTTAATGTTTGCACAGGGTATTTCGTTGGTCGATTATTATTGCTATTGCCATTCGATTTTTGTTTCTCTCTCACCGTCAAATTCGCATGTGTGTGGATTGTATTCATCGCATATACACGAGAGTTACTACTGTCCACGCTTCGTCTACTCGCAGTTTCATCGGTATGAAGGTTTTCTCCTGTTGGCGTCCAATTTCGCAATCGAAAGCGTTGAAAAATAATACTTTCCGTTTGTTACAGCTCGATTATGACGTATATTTCTTGTTCTTGCTCGGCTTGATAGGAGTCGTGATGAAAAAAAGGTTCATACGGGCGTAGAAAAATGAGAGAGATGATATGTATTATGTGTTGCTCTCGGGTTTCAAACCAGTTCTGTGCACTCATTCGTGATTCAGTTTCATTTGCATTTTAGAGCAAAAACCACAGGTTCATTTTCTGGTGCTCTTTTATGGTGTTACACGACATGAAATAGAGGGTTAAGGATTTAAAGATTTATTTTGAAATATCGCCATAATTGTTCTTTCAATGAAATTGTAGCAATTTTAATGTTCACGGTAGTGTAGTTTTGTGGAATTACCTGTCAAATGACAATCATATTTATATAAGAATTCGCTCAATAATTAGTTTGGAAAGCAGTTTGTGCTCGTCGATAGTGTCCATCAATCCAGTCAAGAAAAACTAAGACTCATTTGTAGAAGCTGTGAAACGTTACTCAGATAATCCACAAAGTTGTGAAAGCGATTTGCAGAGATATTCTAAGACTTCTCGCTTTTCCCCTTTCAGTGATGTTCACACCGTCTCCCTAATCTTGTAGTACATCCAGCATTGATCCTGAAAGGTTCTCTCCTCTTTCGTGAGAAACTCCACAGGATATTGGTCTTATGATGAAATCTGTTCAATGCTTTGAGAGGTAAAAATCGTCAAATTAACAAAAAAAAAATGCAGATCCCATAATTTTTAGGGACTCTAATTGACTAGTGGAATTCATCTATCTTTTTCCTCCGCCGATTTAGCATCACGAAGTATAATTCGTAAATTCGTGCTTCTGCCACACTCAGTGATTCACGCCTATGCTATTATATTCTTCGGTTGAGTATCCACGAATTATTGTTCTAAATTCAAAGGAGATCTCTGGGTCTTTCAAGTCTGCTTCACTTTCACATGTTATTTCACATTGATGAAGAGGTCAATGACACTCATGGGGGTTTCTGACTCACCTCCAGCTGCGTTTGTCGTGACTATCTACAATTTTCGGCTGTCAAGGTTACCGACAATATACATGTGGCTAGAAATCAAGTCGTGTGAAGTTTTTCAAGGCCATCTTGGGAAATAATATTTATTTTGTTTTTTATGTTTCAATGTTTCAAAAATGTTATCTTGTCTTGCTTGAGTCAGTTCAGTCTTGAATATTTATAGAGAGTGGAATGTTTCATATCATCTGGTTCGATATCGATATTTCTACGTGAATTGGAATGTCAAAACGTTTACCCTTTACTCTAATTGAGAGATTCTCACGTGGATACAAGTGTTTCCTTCCAAGCCTATTGATTTTTTCGATAATGATAGTATGCAATGTCTACAGAGGTTATTTTTAGAGTTATAAAATTAACATTTTCCTTCCATCTCGACTCTGATTGAATTTAAAATCAATTGAAAAGTAATCTCTCAAAATTTGACTGGCTGAAAATTTGATGGAGAAATCATCGCTCCTATTCTGTGCGAACAATCACACCACACCATTGGAAACTATTGTTGAGTGGCGAAAGGTCAACGGCATTCGACGACTAGTCGCTGCTGTCGTGTGAAATACGGAAACGGAGGACCCAGTGCAGAAAATCCCCTTCAGTATATATTTCAAGCATCGAAACAGTTTCATCGTAATGATTGCGTCGGTTGAAGCGATATCAAGTCGGTTTTGTCTCATAATAACTTTCCAACCGTTGATACATATATCAGCCGTATGCCCATTGAACAAAGTTTCATCAAGGGAGAATTACCGGATATCAACTTTGAACAAAAGTTACACCTCAAGTCAAATCTTGTTTCCAGAATGAATGAGGAAAGGTGGTTCGCTTTTGTTTCGAGGAAGTGGCAAAATGACGATTATTTTTAATTAATTTAATATTTTCAATTATTTTTAATTCAGAAATTTACGCGGATTTTTTCTCAGTCGAGAGATTGTATTTTGCGCATTCAACTGGCCAAGGATTTCAAAGACTATCCGATTGTCCTTGAGTCGTATTACTTTCAAACTTTGCTATTCCAATTATCCTCATCGTTACTTTAACATTCCGAGCAGCAGGCAGCGGAAACCATTATAACGCGTTTAATATTCAGCTGCTGGAGTAATTATCGTTCTTGATCACGTCATCACTTTTGCAGTCATATATTCCATCAAGGGCATTTCTCCAACTTTTATTGAGTTCTTTTGTATGATTTTGTTTTCTAATTCAATGGTCATTTCAATTGCCTACAGGCATAACATTTCATTATCAACACCAGTTTCTATTAACCATGACTCATTCGCTGATTACACTCGATCAGCCATTTGTTAACGACTCCGTCACCAAGGTAAAGAAGAAAAAAAATGATTTCAGCCTTGTACAATTTGCTGCACATGAATACACCCGCGTCTTCGTATTCTCCTTCACCTTTCAAGTGCATACACACAGATGTGCAACTTGTGGTTTTACCGTTACAAAAATCCACTGTAGTATTTATTTGCGATTCAACGACGATTCCTTATCCGACTGTTCGCCTACAGTCGTTTCTTCCCATGACACTTTGTTCAAGTACTGTAAGGTGGCAATGATCTTTATGACTTCCTTTAACAAGTATTGAATCTGGCCTACGCTCGTAAAATCGTTTCACCCATGTTTTAGTTAATACTGACAGTGACATTCTCCATTTCGTGCAGAATATTATTAAAATTGCTGGGCTTGCAATCGACTACGATGAGGAAATAATTTGGTCATGCATTTTTTAAATTTCCAATTCAGCTTAAATTATCAACAGTTGAATTAAAACTGTTTTTTAATTTTAATGTACGTTATTTCACGGCTTCGAGCGTTTTGTTAAGACTTCACTGGCTCCATTTTTCCGTATTGTACTATTTGGTTTTCATCAGCAACGAAAAACTTACAAATTGGAAAATTAATTATCTCAACAATAAAAATTATTTACAAATGAAAAGCCAAGTAATAATTACTTTTTCCTGACTTTTTCGGGGAAAAAAAATTCGACGAATCAAAGATCTCTGATAATGTGCTCGGGGAAAATGTAGGTGCAGCAGGCCAGGTGATATTTGTAGTGTGCTGGTTATAAGCCGAGTAACACTGGACTTTGCTACTGCTGCTGGTCGTTAAAGTTATCGTTCCGCTTTGTCTCGTACCTTCCTGACAATGGCCTCGATTTCACTCTTTCCTGATTAACAATGATCCTCTTTCTGGGAGTCTGAGTTTCCGAGTGATAAAGTGCCAATCTATTATTTATTATACGTGAATAATTCAACAGCTTGAATTTATGTTATGCGACAGTCGAAGGAAATGGATACGGATTAAATCTGAAAAATTAATACAATCGATAGTGCCATGCATCAGTGAATATCTTCGATATAAATGTCTCTAGTTGTTGTGAATTCCAGAGGGGATCATCTCAAAATGAAATTCTCATTAAATTTTCATCAGCCATATTAGATTCTCGAGCATTGAATTATTTACGGATTCCACTGAACTCTGTTCTAATGATGTTACACCATCTGGCATTAAAATGAGTCTGAAAAACGAATCCGGTGCAGTGAACCCCATTTCACTGCTCTTATTCTTTTATTCCGAATCGAATTTGGTATCCACCTCTGCAATGTATTTTCACTACTCTACAATGCATGTTTTATAAGCTTGGAAGAGTAATTGAAAAAAACAAGGAGCTAACCCGGATGTTCTACCATGTGCGATCCAATCGTTGGATTAAAAAGAACCAGAGGCGTCACTCAGACCAATCACATTTAATTAAATACTTGTCTCTTTCTCGTTTATACCATTTACATTATTTACACCTGGTCTCCCCTCCGCATTCAATCCACCAATCAATCCGTCATTGTTTATATCTGTTTTCACTCCACAAATCGAAATGTTATCGTTCTGTTATTTTCGTTTCATTTCGGTTATCTCATGAGAATTTCATTTCTCCAATTCTATGCAAAAAATTTTCATATCTCCTTTATTGCACATGTAATACGACAAAATCGTGTGAATGGCTCTCCCAAAACGGCGATTTATTTTTTAGAGATAAAAATTAGTCTACGAAATATGGTTATGCACTTATCCCTGAAAACCACGCTTAGTGGAAGGTATGAAAGAGATGAAGGGGTTGTGGAGCGAGGAGTGAAGAGGGACGAGTTCAGGGGGATTACACAAAATCGATAGCGGCCACCGCGTTACGGCTCGCCGATTC